TAGTGGGCAACGTTGGCATTTTTAGGCCGAGATATCACCACTCATCATTGAGCAATGAAGTGGGGTTGGGCAGAAATGGGCTAACCGTTAACACGCCCATAACTGTAACTGTAAACCGTTATGTGTATTGTGTGGGTTATTGTGTGTACTGTCACGCGGTTCCCCTTCATTGTTTACACTATGAAAGTTGTAGTATTGAAGCCATTGAAAGTGATTACGTAATAACTGTTTCGCCGTCACAAACTTCAGAATAACGGTTAAAGTCGTACCAGGGAGTTCCCAATTTAAATTCCTTGTTCGTATCATGGTCGTATACACCCATGGTCTAAGTAATTGTATGAATGGAAGACACCGAGCCATACAAGCTTAATTGTTCACACAGTTTATCGATTTACCAGTTTACCCGTTTATGTAAGCAAAAATAAGAATAGACTTTATAGAACTGACTGTGTAGAGCAAAGCTTCATAGTAATCAGGAGTGGGGACGGGAGAGGGGTGGGGCTAATGCCAATATTGATTTTATTTATGTAACACAATAATTATAGCGGAAATAATAACGTTTTTCAAGTGGCCCATTGGGACTGGGGGGGGTCCTACAAAAAGGGGGTATCAAACGTAACAATCTTGGTAGAATTTGAGTAAGTTCGGGTATGCACTGGTTGGTCTGTTCAACATGAAAACAAAGCAACATCAATAAAAACAAACACAAATTAAGGTCTCGGCATCATCCTCAATAAAGAGGCACTTCTGTACGATACACTTTAATTACATGTATATGTATTCATTGAGAATACATATTTTGCATTTACTTCTCAATTACCATTTATAGCCATGCATGTACAGTACGTATTTGTATGTAGGCCTGAAATATTTTAGGTCAATGCGTGTTATACAAGCGCAAAAGTACAGCGTAGGTCGATTCTATTCTCCTCTTTCTATTGCCACGTAGTGGTTACGTAATTCACTGTTTGCTGACTACAAAACCAAGAGGATGTCCGAGGAAACCAACAAAAGCTGCAATTAGGTTCGTACAGCTATCTGTTCTGCTCTGTTCACCATTGGTATGCAGCACTATGGACTTGATACGATTTGTTTCATTCAATGCTTTTATCACGAGAACACTTTCTCAACGAGATTCTTATACTTTATTTAGCTTTTTCATAGTTCGAGGTGAATGATAATAAAATTGGAAGATTCTACGACAAAATATTGTAGGTGTTATATCAATGTGATTGGTAGATCGCTAACGTATAGATATTAAAAACATAACCTATATTTGTCTTAGAGACAGTATGATAGAAACGGTCTATAGTTAAATCCTAAATTTATGAATTTCTTAACATGCAGAATATTGGTAATTAAGTAGCGTGGAATATGGGACTACACAAAGATAATTAATATGGGACTATAATCAACCCAATTTGCGCAACTTTCTTGGCTTCCGTGTTCTTTATACTTCGAATTCGTTTGGCAACTACAATTACCGTAGGATTCTGCAAGAAATGTAATTGCCATGATATCAGAAGCTCAGTGTATAGCTTTAAATGAGGACTTCATTTAAAGGTATAGACCAGTTATTGTCATGCGATTGCATTGCAAAAGGATCGTGGAATCAATCAGAAAAGGTTGATCATCTAGCATATGAGTATTGGTGTACTGCAAGGTTCTGTTATCATCAAAATGATAAGAAATTTGGCCCAGTCTTGGTAAAGTTACAAGCACTATACACAGAAAGATGTATATGGGATTACACGGTATCTATCCAGGTCAGATAGATATGATATTTACCAAATTATATAAATTAGTAGGAGGTTTCCCGGCAAAATTTGTATTATCACGTATTAGTCAAAACATATACTTTCACATGATTGGTAATAAGAGCTTCCATTTCATTTTTTGAGAGGGGGGCGTTTCCAAAACTAGTCTATACCTTTAATATAACCCGAATAACATGACTGTGCCAGAGATAAGTTAAAGTTCCCAGACAGCTCTCTGGTTGAACCCACATTTTTGTAGGTGAACTTATGTTATGCCCTTTGGGAGAGACTGACAGGATCTTGACTCATTCATAAAAAAAGCTCCTCATCTGAACTCAAGATCTGAAACCTAGCCAACTCTATATACAACGGGATTGCCTAATCTCTAGATAATTATGCATCACATGATGCCTGTCATTTCATCCGAGGTATTTGCTTCTTTGGGAGGTTGGAGGGGGAGGGAGGGAGGGTAGGGGGTAGTGGAAGGGAGGGGGCAAAGGAGGGGAGGGGGCAAGAGAGAGAAAGGGGCAAGGGAGTGATGGGGAAAAGGGAGATGGAGGACAGGTGTACAGGAGGGGCAGGACAGGGGAAGGACAGGGGCAGGGCAGGATGACGGAACTTAGGGAGTTGCAGGGAAAGGGCAGGGAAGGGGCAGGGAAGGGGCGGGGCAGGGAAGGGGCGGGGCAATCACGTAGGTTTCGTGAGGTTAGGCATATCTCCACACTCAACTCTCCTGCAGAGGGGTGAAAATCCACTCTACAAAAGGAGTCGTAATTATTAGCGATCGCTTTATTTTAGAGTTGAATCCACTCCGAACGATACTGGAACCCATTCCAAAGTAATATGTTTCAATTACTTTCACTCTTTAGCGACTTGATTTCAGCATAGTGATTTAGTGAGTGTATATATATTTCCAACTTTAAAACGGAACGAAGAGATCCTTGAAATGTCTCCTGAAAGAGTGGATTTCCACTCCTGTACATTTTGGAGAGTATGACAGAAGATCATCAAAACCAGGTACAACGGGTCGAATCGAGAGCGCATGAACAACAATTTTCGACATCGGACATGTTTGCCAGACAATTATCAAGAACTAACATCAAAAATAGATTAAATCTTTTTTCAATAGTAATTCAATTAAGACAAATACTTTATAGGAAATAGATGGCTGGCGTGATAAATTTTCCCGCTGTCATGTAATTGATGTCGAAACCAATTTGTAATTATTGTGAGTTATACACGTGTACATTGTGAGTTGCATGATCATGATGTAGAAATGAGTATACTTGAAGAGTTAAAGTAAAAAATGAATAAATTTATCGCTTGATAGATCACATTTGGACAACTTGTGTTGCTAAATGTGGAACAACTACGTGTACATTTCACTTCTGACGATATTCTCTAGGCCTGCTAAATTAAATCAAATACCGCTGAACAACGTTGTCAACTATTTGCTTATGACTGAACTGCGTTTGCATAGGGGAGGTGGCAGCGTAGATAAAACTACTTCTTCCTCTTATTTGGGATAAGAAAAACGCCTGTTCAATTTAGAAAGCATCGATGGTCGCAATATCAGAAGCGCAAGCACATTTAGAAGCAAGCAAGTGGGTGGAATTGTATTTGATAAAATCCAACTTTGTAGAAAAGACAGTTCTTATTGGGAACGTGTGTTTTCAGGCACGTCTATCAAGCCTGTATCACATATCGATTTACGATAGATTTTCGTTTCGCGTTCACTAACAAATATTGTGATCACACACCACCAAAATCATAGCCCGAATCTACATTTTAATTTTAAAAAGCAATATATATTAATCATTCCCTTTCATTTATTCACAATATCCACTAGAGACCCATAAGTTGAAGAATCCCGGGATTTGGTAATCCGTTAATCCTGTACATTCTGGAGTTATATACAGAAGAGGAAATCAATGGCAACGGCTCTGCACGCTGTTATTTAATCCAGGGTCCACTCATTCAGCGTCGCGTGGTCACTGACCAGCAATGCCCATGGAACTGGCAGCTATCCAACACTTGTCCCATTGTCCAGGTGTTTTATTCGAAACTTTCTTTTATCTACAAATCCAGATGACACACAACTAGTCTTTGTCCGAGAGGTGCGGACATTTGAGTTCCTTTGGATTTCAACATGTGGCTTTCTCTCCCATGGATTGCTCTTAGCAAGGAAATTAATACAAAATCAAGGATGTACATGTATCTGCACTTGCGGGTACTATTATCACTACTTTTATGTTTGCCGTTTCCGTTAGTCTAGTTTTAACCACAACACAAACATGGTTGAGTAATTTTGAATGGTGCATCTGGGGTCGCATCGTTTCCCCGGGTGTTACGTGCTAATACTTTGTGAATCATAAATATTGACATAGACTATAAGTATCATAACCAAAATATGACTTATTTTATTTATCACCCCAGACAAAAAGAATGTTTAAGCACAAACTTTAAGTATAAAGTTAACATAACCAAATAATCTCGCATCTACCCCCTATTATTTAATTTTAAAAAGCCTTCGTCTGTTTCTGCCGTCATGTTAAATGGCATAACAATTTTTTTCAAATAATATGTCTCACATAGATTTACTAAAAACTTGAACGCACGAACTCTCTCGCATTTGTCAAAAATATGCAAGAGGTATTTTATCAAATTGAAATTGGATGATCTGGAAACAAAGTTCTTTAATAATTAATCGTAGGTCTAGATATTAATATAAGCAAAGACCGGGTTCACAAACATATTCAAATTGTATGCATACTCTTTGAAAAAGGTTGTTCTTGACCATCTGAAAGCTTGCCCAACATTGCAACAAGTAATATATGTATGCACACTCAATACCACAGTATTTATGGTTCATAAAACAGGTTAATGGAATAACTCGTCAGTAGACTAGTCACCGACACTAGGTCGCCAGGCAAAAAACATCCATACATTTGAATATGTTAGTAAGCCGGTCTATTGTCTTTGAGATGGAACCTCGGACCATTATAAACTGGTTTACTCATCTGAATGTTTTGACAAAATATCGTTAGAAATTATGCATCATTGTCATCAATTAATAAAGTTAAGCTTTTGGCTTTACAGCTTTAGCTTTAGATTCTGTTTACATTTTTTCTAACGGTGATAAGACATGGTTTAAAGTTGTGAGTTCGTCAGTGCAAATAAAAACCGATCTATCCTTATCGAGCATTAGCTAGATAAAGAAGAAAAAGATAAACAACGACTCACCAACGAGGGACCGGTTAGAACGCCAATGCCGTATCCATACTGGGCTGAGCTCCCGAAGGTTACCGCGATGACAGATATCACCAGCCATAGAGTCGGCCTTCCCTGCGAAGGAAAAGTATAACCACCGCTAGGCATTTTGTTTGATGGTTCAAGTACTTCTTAAGTTAAGATTGAATATGAAGTTATAGAGAATTCTCAAAAGCAGTCAGCTAGTGATGAAGTCGAGAGTCAGATATAAGTTTGTAGCTGTCGTTTCGTTCGGATTCAGACGGCTGCTGAAGTATGAAATCACACCATACAGTCGCTCCGGAAGAATTGTGCCAATAACATGTGCGCGTGCTCTCACACACGGGTACAGCCAAATATCAACACACGATGTGGTGTACGAGGAACGCCTTCTTGTTTTATCTTCAGTTGGATAAAGTCAACAGCAGCAGTTATCTTAGAGCAAGGACCGCGTTAGTTAAATAATATATTATTCGATGAAATAATTTAGGTGCTGTTCTCTGCTGAGGATTCGCAAAGATACGGTATTTTGTCCTGATTTTTGGTAAAATTGCAGGTCTTGGTACGATACGAGCGTGGTATACGTGCGAGCGGGATTGCGCGCGCGCGGCGTAGGTACGTAAAGGTCAATTGAAGTTCGTTCATAGTAAAATGTCCAATGATCAGACATAAACATTAAAAAGGTTAAGGATGAACACGATTATAGTCTTTACATCCAGATAGTTCATTTGAAAATATTCACAAATTTTAAAAACTTGTTTCACTCTTTTAAACGACAGGAAACAAAATATTCAATCTACTCTCCATATTTTAATGTTATTTAGCTCGAGTCATACAGAGGCTTGTTTCGGCAGACTAGCCCAGTGAGCATCATGAATGGAGGTTCTTTGGGTTCTTTTTTGATAGTTTCTTCATATAAACCCTTTCCAAAAGAAACACAATGCAAGACTGCAAATAGGTATAAAATTGCAATTAAACATTAACAAAGCCATAAAAATATCTCAAAATAGAAATTAAACCTGCTCTACATATTTTGTAGAGGTGTTGACTTTCTTTCTGCATTGTAAAATAGCGAAATCACATATAAATGAGTCTGCGTTTACAGACTTCGGTTCGCGCGTTCAGCCGTAATGTCATTTGTACAGTTAGTGAAAGTGTCCCGCAAGTTCCGTTTGCGCATGCGCTCTTCGTCGTCGGCCCTTCCCTTGGCACACCTCTCACACGCCCACATTCTTTGTTTTCGTGTTATGTTTACATTGTTTGAAAGGTGTACGCTTCTGCTTACGAATTAATCACTTTCAGTTCAGTATCATTTATTTCCATCAAAATCAAATTACAAGTAAAACATTTTTTTTCTTCGTACAAATGAGATTTGTTTTCAGCACAGTATAGGCCTTCAGTATAAGAGATAACACTAATATTGAAACAACATGCTTTGTAGAATTAATGACAAGAAACGTAATTGTTAAGCGTATAAAGGAAAAGAGTGATCCACGAAAACGCAAAGCTTAATGTAAAACGTTAACCACACTATGAACATGACAGACAAAGAAAGCGGACAAAATATACAGTTCGTCAGGTAGACAAAGGAACATCCCTTCACTGCCATTATGTAAAAAGGTGAATATGCATGTGACACCTGTTCTACACATTTTTACATAATAGCAGTGAAGGGATCTTCTTTTGTCTACCTGAGGAGCTGTATATTTTGTCCGCTTGCTTTGTCAGTCATGTTCATAGTGCCACTCGATGAAACTTTCTCACGTCTATGCATAAAATGTCCGTACGTATAAACAAAATTCCAAAAATCTAAACAAAGTCCTAAATAGGCTATGCGGCTTCCCTAAATTCAAGTTGCAATTGAATTACGGAGTTGAGTTCAGCAGGCAAGGTTCTAGGAGAATGGAATAATTGGAGGAGGGGCCTTGGAGGGCTTTTGGGGCGGCTTGTGAGTTCTTGCATTCACTTTCTAGTTTCTACATGCGCTTCCCTTTCAGGCACGTAGCAAGAGTTTGATGTTGGGGGGGGGGGCACATACATTTAATCGATCGACGTCCTGGGGAGGGGTCTAAAAAGTTCAACCGATCTTGGAAATTGGGGGGGGGGCACGTGCCCCCCCCCCCCGTGGCTACGTGCCTGTTCCCTTTATCTCATATTCATGATTGAGAAAAGGGGGGCTTAAAAATGGGAAGGGGGGGCCTGAGTTCCCAAGCCCCCAATTAGAACCGTTTCAGAATCAAGTGAATCTGGAGGTACATTCCCTTTGTCTTCTTTTCTTTATATTTCCCTTTTCCTTTCTTTCTTCCTGCCATTCTTTCTGTTCTATTTTTTTTTGGGGGGGGGGGGGGGTAGCGCCTATTTCTCTCATAATTTGACAAATTAGATTACACTTCCAAGCTTCAAAACATTTGCCGTACTTCCTCAACTCAGATGGATTTCACTCGATTACTACTTTTATCAGAAATTTATTACCACCATTTCAGGAGTGAACAAAAATATTGTTTTTCCTTTTTTTTTTAAATCGTTGCCAGTAGGCGTATTGGGAACGGTAGAGTGATGTCACGCAATAACTTGCTCCATAAATTGAATTTACCGCTCAACATGATCGTTTTCTTTACATTTTTTGACATTGAATATCATGTCAATTTTCCATCATGATCAAAGAAAATAAACAGAGATTAAGACACATATTTGCTAAATTACCGCAAATTGCCATGGTCCGATCACGATGATTTTCACAGTATGAAAATATTTGTTGAAAATTCCAATTATTATCAATAGATAACTTTAACAACATGACCGAACATCTGCTCAAGAAGCGGTGTTTCCGGCATGGGCACATTGCCAACTGATTGCCTTTCTCAAAATTTGAGAGATGGGTTAGCCTATATATGCTATTGGGGTTCATTGTTCAAGGCTCATCAGTACTTTCATAATATGGCCCAGGCTTTTCTACACCGAATAACATTTTAGTTGCCATGGGAACATAATAATCAAAATCATGTTGCATTAACCTAATAAGGGTATTCCTCTGCATTTCTTTAGCTTTATCCCTGATTTGCTGTTTATTTAAAACAAATCTAATTTCATGCATTGAAACATATTCTGAAAAGAGATATATGTAGTGCGCCATCTACTGATTTTGGAGTTATATCCTTGTCTTTTATTTCAGCATCATATGAAACAAGTATATAGATGCTATTAACCCATCAACCACGCGATTATCTGGATACATATAACCAGAGGCGGCGCTCGTGGGGGGGGGGGGGGGCAGAGGGGCACATTGCTCCCATTTTTTCAAGTACCCTAAAAGTGCAAATTTCATTAAACGGAAAAATGCCCCCTTTTACTTAAACAAGTGTCCTTTCTCGTTTTTTATAAGTACCTCTTTTATTTTGAAAAGTGCCCCTTTCCATTATGATAAGTGCCCCTCATTTTCTTTAATAAGAGCCCTTTTATCTTCTCATAAATGCCCCTTTTAATTTCTGATAATTTCCCTATTTAAATCTGATAGGTGCTCTTTTGCAACAAGTGCCCCTTTTTCCATTCTCATAAATGCCCTTTTTCATTTCTGATAAATGTCCCTTTTCAGGTACAAGAAATGCAATGTTTACCTCTGACAAGTGCCCCCTTCACCTCTGATAATTGCCTCTTTTCAAATCAGAGAAATGCCCGTATTACTTTGACAAGTGCCCAAATTCGTTTGTAATAATTTACCCATCCCCTTCTGATATGTGTTCCTTCCCCTTTTCATAAATGTCCTTTTCTGCTCTGATAAATACCCCTATTTAAATTTGATAGGTACTCATTTTCCTTTGATAAATTCTGATAATTGCCTCTTTTCAAATCAGAGAAGTGCCCGTATTTACTTTGGCAATTGCCCAATTTCCTTTGTAATAATTGACCCTTCCACTTTTGGTATTTGTCTCTTCCCCTTTTCATAAATGCCCTTTTCACTTTTAATAAATGTCCCTTCATTTTCCTTCAAAAAATTCCCCTTTTCCATTCTCATAAGTGCCTTTTCTTTCCATCTCTGATAATTGCCCTTTTGCTTTGACAGGTGCTCCTTTTCTTTTCTATTAAGTGTCCATTCCCATTTTAATAAGTGCCCTCTTTCCCATCTTCATTACATGTGCCCCTAATTTGAAGCGACTTAGTGCAATCTTTTCTTTAATTTCCCCCAAAGCACACTCGCTACGCTCGCTCGCATTCATAGTTGATAACATTATGTTAGTTATTGTAGGCCGTTCAGGCGCGTACGCAGGATTTTGTCAAGGGGGGGGGGGGGGGGGGGGGGGGTTGACATTTATAAATCGGGCCGAAAATTTCGCAACGACACAGCCAGCCACTGAATAAGCGGGGGGGGGGGGGGGGGGGGGGGGGGGGTAAGAGGACACTCTTCTTTTTTTTTTTGGTCCCAAAAAAAATCGCAACGACTCAGCCGACCGCTGGATAAGGGGGGGGGGGGGGGGGGGGGTAAGAGGACATTTTTTTATATTTTTTATTAGGTCTCGAAATTTGACAAATTTGACATTTTGCTCCGTTGGGGGGGGGGGGGTAAGGTCATGTTTTTAGGTCAGCCATGGGAATTTTTTTTTTTTTTTTTTTTTTTAATAATTAACCCCCCCCCCTGTGTACGCGCCTGAGGCCGTTTCAGTCTTTCATGATTAGATTGTGCTTGAAACCCATCGGGATTTGTTTTTGTCTTTCCCTCTTCATCACAACCAACTGCAAAGTATGATGCTCCAGCATTATCTTGTACCATGTAAAGAGAGAAACAGATATTGAAATCATCCCTGATAATGTAATCATAACTATGTAGGGGTATATACCAATGTCTAAAAATTGAATATTTTTGCTTTGAGGTTTCCCTTTGTAGGTACCGCTTTTTTTAGTGCTTCCCCCCCCCCCCCCACCCCCTTTGGAAGACGCTCCGCCGCCTCTGGATGTAACTTCCCCTTAGACATTTAAACCCTGGCAAATGGGCAACTACCCCGTGTTAACCGGACACCTACCCCTAAAATAACTATATACCAATTTGAGTAATACCACATGATAAATACTTTTAAGAATAACTATTAAATAGTTTTTCCCCTACGAACAATAATTACTTCTCTCAAATGGTGTCGAATAGTGATGTGGCATTGGTTTTCCTGTCTATTTCCTTTGTTCCTTTATATTTTTTTTTTTATTAGATTCATATTTATTTTTTTTACAAATTATTGCATTTTCTTTCTCCACTTCGTTTATTTCTTATTTTGCCAAACTTGTTTAATTCATGAATTTTGGTATATGATTTTAATTCTTCTTCTCTATTTTTTTGTACCGATTCCACGGCTAATCTTAATGGTGACTTCACACTTTAGTTTTAGACTGAGGAGGGGAACTTTGTCAAAATTTTAAATAAACTTTTATTTCAGATTGCCATCATGTGCAAGATATTATCCCACAACAATTCATTCCTGTATTGTACAACAGCAATGTTTTTTTCTTCTTTCTCTCACTCTGTCAATATCGAATGAGAGTGAAAAAGTGAATATCAGGCTTCATAAAAGGAGTCAACCGTAAATAAATTAATCGTGTCAG